TTTTGAATATACCGGAAATTGCATAAATCAGAATGTGCATTTTGATCTGCATTTTTCATCTCATTAGAGACAATTCATCTCTTGAGATGAAATATTGCAGAATTTAAACTGAAGTTTAATCCTTCTGAGATATTAGAAAAGTACTTTGTAAATTGAATTCTTGAGTACTTTTTATCACACTATTGTATAACTTTTTGTACCTAACACAAGTAGCATAGAAGCATTACCAAAAGGAAGATTCTAATGTGAAAATTGTTGTCTATAATTTAAACTGTGCAGATCAGATTATTGCTCACTGTGTGATCCACCAAACAGACAAGCCTACCAGAATATTGATCACTATTTAAGCCCTTCATCTTTGTGTGGAGCAAGGACAGCACAACATGCCTGAGGAGTCTCTTCTGTGGCTACAATTCTTACCTGCTACATGTCCTGCAACATGCCAAAACCAACAGCAAAAACACTGGCTGCTACAAGCCTTGCAACTATACGTTCTTGCTACATGTTCTTGCTACATGTTTGTATAACACTGAATGAATACAGAAACTCTTCAGAGCTATCATATTGATTTGAGTTTACAGATGAAGCTTTCTAAGGGATTGGTGCACTAATTGTAAAGTTAATAATGTCTGAACGCCTACCCCTACATGAACCAAGTCCATTACATGGTGGTATTAATCATCATGATTTTAAATTGTAGTCCTCAGTCAAAATTGTGGCAGCAATACTGCTATTGTGATGCTTCCCACAAATATTGTTGATCACACAAATTGTCAAAATGCATTTGCAATGTAAATGTAATGAATTCATTAGAAATGTTGGAAAGTATACACATAGCCTTAGTAGAAGAGAATATAAGAAAAAATGATTTTTTTAAAATTTATTAAAAAAATATAATAAAATAAAATCAATATTGAATTATTTAAAAATGATGTGTTATCATACATCTCTATTTTATATTTTTAAGAGACTTTATATCTCATCTTAAATCTAATTTTGCGTATTGATTTGGGATGAACAAAAATTATATTGAAAAAATAGGTTAAGTATATTTATTCTATTAGGATTTGAAAATAGTTTTGATATTTTCACAATAACGGTGTCAATTAGGCAGTTCAATTAATGGTGAAGAGCAGTGATGAATCTTGACCATTGATCTTGGGGAGGTCAAATAATATATTATTAATAAATAATAAATAAATATGAAAAGAATAAAGAAGATAAAAAGGTGAAAGGATAAAATTGTAGATATATACTTAAATATATTAAATAATCATTAAGTATGAGAGAGACAAAATCATAAATTATATGAGAGTTACAAAACTAAGGAGGGACTGAAAGGATAAAATTGTAAATATACAAGTAAATATATTAAATTTTTATTAAGTTTGGGAGTCCAAAATCATAAATTATATGGGAGTTACTAAAACTTTGGGGAGTCACGACCCCCTAGCTTCCAAGAAGATCCGCCATCTGGTGAAAAGAAAATATTAATGAAAAGAGTAAATTAAGGGTTTGTGTGATTTAATTTTGTTTTTTATTTTTTTTAAACAGTTTTAAAGATTAACCTTGAAAAAAACAATTTTGAATATTATTTAAAAAAACGTAAAAAAATATTTAAAAATAAAAACACTTTTTGGTTCTTAAAAACTGAAAATAAAAACACTTTTTGAAAATAATTATCAAGTGATTTTTTAATTTTTTTAGAAATCTCTTATTGATTAATCGTTGTTTAGATGAATGAATAAACTTGAGAGAATAAAAAATATAAACAAAGTTTGTTAAAATAAAAAAAAAGAAAGAAGTAAAGACGAATAATAATAATAATAATAAAATATTTATTATTTTAAATCACCAACAAAAATATATTATACATTTATATATAATTTATTATCTCAACAAAATAATTGATTTTCTTAAATCTATCTTTTCTCCTAGAGGAAAAAAATAAGATAATATATATATATATATATATATAAAAATCAAGTTTTAATTATTTTTTAATGTTACTCACAACTCAATTCGTAATTATAAATAAATATTAAATATTTTATCAAATTATAATATATTAAAATATAAATTTTATTTTCATAAAATTAATATATATATATATATATATATATTTTTTTTTTTTTTTAATTTGTTGTTTTGATTATCACTGAACTATATATGTATAAATATTTAATTTAACATACATGAGATATTTATCTTTAAATATAAAAGATGATAAGAAGATTTCTATACATCATAAATATCATCAAATTATAATAAATAATTGAGATATAAATTTTATTTTATAAATAAAATTTATGATATTGCGTTGAAAATAATTTATAGGAAATAATTAATAAACGCCAATTACTCGCCTTTGGTATTAGACTAACTTAAAAATATAATGAATGTTTGGTACAAGAATTTCAAAATTTTGACTTGAATTTTGGTCCAAAGACAAGTAGCCTCCTCGGTTGATCCTGTTCATAATAATTTTGAGCAGGACCAGTTCTTCCCTTCCCTGCACGCACACCACACGGATACTCATTATTTAGTTAATTATTTAAAGAACTAATTTAAAACGTGAAGAATGATTATTAAATCATCATAATCACAAATTTCTTTCTATTAACAATTTTTTTTTCATCTCCAACTTTGTATCTGGAAATTTATCTAGATGAAAAATCATAAGCATATATTTGAATATATGAAAGACATTTATGCTTTTAATTAACATTTGCATATATTTATTAATTTTCTTAACAAATATAAAAGTAATTAATTCTTAATCAATATAATTTACCACTAACAATTATTGTACATTAAGAGGTAATATCATTTTAGGTGAAAAAAATTAATATGTGAAGATAATACATTAATGTATACTTTAATAAAAGAAAAAAAAATGTAAAGAATAGAGGAAAGAGATAAATATTAAATATGTTTTTTTTTTAAGATAGTGGCATTTTTTATTTTCACAATGAATTGATTTTTCTATTTTGAACATAATAATCTTCTCAAAACGTCAACCACCAAAATATACACCCTCAAAATTTTCTGCATATAATCTTTTACTTATTTTACAACATATCAACTAAATTTCATTTAAAGTTTACATGAAAATGAGGATATGTACAGGGCGAGTTTGAAAACCTTTCTACAAAATAAATACACAAGGTTCAAGTTTAATTCACTTTATATATAATTAAATATGTTTTCAGTTTTTTTTACTATTCACTAAATTTAATTTTTGTTTCTATATATATATATAATGTTATCAAATAATTTTTAAATTTTGAAAAATATATAATTTATTTTTTATTAAAAATTCTTCATAATTTTAGAGTCAAAAGGATATTAAAAAAATTTCAAATTTCAAAATAATTAAATTAAATTAATATTATTTAATTATAAAACAATTTATATAATTATTAATTAATTATTTAATAATATTTATTCTGATATATAATTAAAAAATGTTTTTATTATAAAATTAGTTTTTCTATAAATATTTAAATTTAAATTAATAAAATAATATCATGTTATAAATAAATATTAAATTATTCATTTAATTTTTATAATATTTTTTATTTATAACATGTTTTCGATAACAAATAAAACAATTTCCTTTTATAAATAAAATTTATGGATCACAAATCTCAAAACAATTTCAAAAGACAATATTTTTCTTAATTTTAGGAATTTTTAAGAAAAACCAAGTTATTTTCTTATGTCCACCACAAAGCATGATAGTGAAAAGTAAGATATAACGTCAGAAAATTAGAATTCCATGATTTGACTGAAGAAAGTTTAGATTTTTGAAAACTACCATTAATTTATAAGAGTGACCAGTATAGTATAAATTGATCACATCAAAGTGAAATAAAATTCAAACACAATATCTGCAGAAATATCCAACTATTATCTTTCAATGATTCTAATATGCAATAATGAATCTTTGATCCCCCATCACCAAAAACATACAATAGACAAAAATATAACCTACCCCATGAATTTTTTTTTAGAAAAATCATTGTTAAATAGGACTTCAATTGAAGTGGTTCATGTTCACCATTGTTAAGGAGCTTGGAATGATTGGCCAAACTTAACCAAAGAGAATAGATAACTATTGCATGTGGTTTGAGGAGAATGAAGCACCAAATCTTTAGTTTAATGGAGAACTCATTCACCTAATGATGCACTATTGAGTATAAAAAGTATTTCCTTGAATGAAAAGTTTTTTCATGATCAAATTCTTGAAAGGATGAAATTTTATATTTTTCTTATGGAAAGTTTCAATTTCTAAGTGTACGTTAAAACTCGCTTATATAACTTTTTTGAATATTAACTATTTAAATACAATTTTTAAAGAATATTATAATTTAGGTTTGATTACTTTTCTTTTGTACTCTTATATTTTTTTATTTTGTTTAATTTTATCTCACTATTGATAAACATTTTTTTTGTTCTTTATTTTTAAAATAGTATTTAATTAATTTAGATGAATGATACAAAATTACATTAATTAAAAAAAATCAAATTGCATCGATTTCAAAACAAAGGAAATAGAAAAATTTATTAATAATATAATAAAATATATTATTAAGCCATTAATTTTTCAATTGTTTCTAACTAAATCAACCAACTTTCTTAATAAATACAAGTTATTTACCATTATCTTATATCTAGAAATGAGGAAAATCTAAGAAATTCACTACTCTTGAACAAAGATCCAAGAACTGAATTTTTTTTTATAAATAAAAAAGTAAATAAAAATTAAGAGAGTTAAAAAAAAAAAAAAAACTACTTTACTTTGGCGATGAGGTTCAGAAATATAAATATTGTGGTCATGGGTTTGATCTGGTTATTATTTTGCGTTCCTTCTCTGTCACATACACACTCTCTCTCTCACCGCTTTACTTTTTCGTAATAAACCCTTCAAAAGGATAACCGTTTTATTGGTTTCTCGTTTTTCGACCTTATCTTAGGATCGATTCTGCGTTAGGCGCATGAAGGATTCGAATTCGGATCTGTTTGACCCGATTATGGCCATGGAGTCCGAGTGGTCCCGCGGCGGTTCCACTTCCGATGCCGATTTCGCCTTCGCCTTCAACGATAGTAACTTCTCCGACAGGGTTCTTCGGATCGAGATCATGCCCGACCCCATCGACGCGCGACCCGATTCAGACGGCTGTGCCACCATTGCTGACTGGGCGCGCCACCGCAAGCGCCGTCGCGAGGATATAAAAAAGGATAACGGTCCTCTCTCTCACTCCCTCTATCTGTTTCTGTTGTTTTTATGGAATATAAAATTTCTAGGGTTTGTAGAATTGTTCACTGGTAGAAGTAGAAACGGTTGTGATTTTGCACGTACGAGGTGTTTTTTACAAAATTAGAAAGAAAAAGGACCATTGAAGGGTTAAAATTGGAAATACAAATTGGATGTCTTTTTGTATGGAGTTGAAAGTTTTTTTTTTTGCCTAAAAAGAGTATGTTAGATGGATATTGTCTGCGTAGAAGAGTGTTTTCAAATTGTATGGCTAATATATATATGTGTGTGTGTGTGTGTGTGTGTGTTTGCCCTTTTGTGTGTAGGTGCGGATATTGCTTCGGTGCCAGACGAGCAAATTTTGAACGGGAATCAGCCTGATTTAGATGAGTGTGAAAACCAAGATGAGGAGGCTGTTGCAATGGTTGAAGAACCCAATTCTGGTATTTGAATTGAATGTCTTAAAAGTCTTACACATGGAGCGTGTTTGATTAGTATTTTCAAATTCTGTTTAGACGTGTTCAGACAGTTGTGGAGGGTGGTGCAAGGCACAGAGCAGAGTGTGGAACTGGGGGAGAGCTTGAACAAGATGAAAACAGAAGAAAACAAAAAAAAACATCTCCTAGTTATTTTTGGTTTTTTAAGTACTTTTTTTGGAAGTAGTTTTCAAAACTTAAATGATTCTGGATCAGAAATTGATTGCTGAGTGGTGTAAAATTGTTTTAGAGAACAGTTTTTAAAACTAAAAATGAGAAGGGAATCGAACATGCCCCATTTATATAGATTTTTGAGAACTCTATATTTCTCCCAATGAAATGCTCAAATTTAATTGAATAATATGATAAACATGAGTGCGATTTACTTAATAAAGTGATTTGGTAGAAAGTATTACATTTTCTTTTATGTGTAAAAAGTAAATAGATATGGATATCTATGAAGTCATGAGTTCTGTTCTATGATTAATATTAATTTTTGTGTGGTGAATGCAGGTGATGAAGCCACAAATAGTATTGATTCAGACTGGAGCATGGATTGCTCTGCCGGTGCAGTTATTAGAGTTAAAACTCTGCATATAAGTTCTCCTATTCTGGCTGCAAAAAGTCCTTTCTTCTACAAGGTAGCTGAATATTTTTCTCTTTATTGGGTACCTTTGAATATTTTTGCCTAAGTTATGTTTTCTTAGCAGTTTTTATTTACTTTATGCAGCTTTTCTCAAATGGGATGAGGGAGTCTGAGCAGAGACATGTCACCCTCAGAATTAATGCCTCTGGTATAAACATAGGAATAAGATTTTAGATTCTCAATTGTTGTTCTTTTCATCAAATGGTTACTTACAACTTTCATACATCGTTTCATGTTGCAGAAGAAGCTGCTCTCATGGAGCTGCTGAATTTTATGTACAGTAATACCTTGACCACTACTACAGCACCTGCTTTACTGGATGTGTTGATGGCTGCTGATAAATTTGAAGTTGCCTCATGCATGAGATGCTGTAGCCGATTGTTGCGGAATATGCCTATGACACCTGACTCAGCATTGCTTTATTTGGAGCTTCCTTCTAGTGTCTTAATGGCTGATGCTGTCCAACCATTGACCGATGCTGCAAAGCAGTATCTGGCTGGTCGATACAAAGATATAACCAAGTAAGTGTTTGCCTTTTTAATTTTAATTTTAGTCACATGTGACATTCAAGCATTACAAAACTATGTATTGGATGGAGCTTCTTTGCCTTGATCTGTTTTTTTTTTTTTCTTGTAATGGCATTTAACAATCCATTTTGTAGATACAAAATACATATTCATAGAAAAGACTCCGATGTGTGTGTTCCTTACATCTAATAATTGGGTACCCTTGTAGATAATAGTTCCGGTGGATGGCTACAAGTTTTAGTTAATCAACTTATATTGTGTCTGGTCCTGCGTTTGAATGACCTGTTGTTACGCTTGTCTCTCTCAAAGCTCTCAGTATTCTGTATTTTTTTTAATTTAGTCCAATTATTTTATTAATAGTTTATAAATATTTTAGAGAGGCTTTCCATATTTCTTTTCTATTATGGAATTCCATGATAGAGTCGTTTGTGAAACACTTTTTTCTTTATGTTCTTCTAACAGTCCATTCTTTTAGAAAACATCTGTTTCTTTTGTTGCCATTTTTCACTGTTTTGGTCTTAGTATCATATTTCTTTCTGAATGGTAAATATTGTATGTCCACCAGGTTCCAGGAAGAGGTTTTGGCCTTGCCCCTAGCCGGAGTAGAGGCCATACTGTCTAGCGATGATCTCCAGGTTGCGTCAGAAGATGCTGTATATGATTTTGTGTTGAAGTGGTCTCGACAGCAGTACCCTAAACTGGAAGAAAGGCGAGAAGTCCTGGGTGCCCGTCTAGCTCGTTTAATTCGCTTCCCTTACATGACCTGCCGAAAGCTTAAGAAGGTCTTGACTTGTACTGACTTTGATCATGATGTTGCATCCAAGCTTGTATTGGAGGGCCTATTTTTTAAGGCTGAGGCTCCTCACCGCCAAAGGGCACTGGCTGCAGAAGACTCTGCTTCTTCAAATCGTCGTTTTGTGGAGAGGGCATACAAATATCGCCCAGTGAAAGTGGTAGAATTTGAACTTCCCCGGCAGCAGTGTGTGGTGTACCTGGATCTGAAGCGGGAGGAGTGTGCTAATCTATTCCCATCTGGTCGGGTTTATTCTCAGGCATTCCATTTGGGTGGTCAAGGTTTTTTCCTATCAGCACATTGCAACATGGATCAACAAAGCTCTTTCCATTGCTTTGGGCTGTTTTTGGGAATGCAGGAGAAGGGCTCAGTGAGCTTTGCTGTTGACTATGAGTTTGCTGCCAGGTCTAGGCCAACAGAGGAATTTGTCAGCAAGTACAAAGGCAACTATGTGTTCACAGGGGGAAAGGCTGTCGGCTACAGAAACTTGTTTGCTATTCCATGGACTTCGTTCATGGCTGATGATAGTCTTTACTTCATCAACGGTGTCCTCCACCTTAGAGCTGAGCTCACCATCAGACACTGACCATCATTTCTAGTTGTAAACGTCTATTTCAGTTGGTAGCCCTGACCTTTGTTTAGATCTCGAATTCTCATTTTCTGTAAACATGTAATCTTTCCAAAGCTTAATATACAGGCATGTCCTCTAAGTGACCAGTGTTGCATGTGATTCAGAAGATATCTAGGGTAAGTGATCTTGCCTTCCATTTCGGTTATTCCGCTCAATATTTGCTTCCTTGTGTCGGATTTAATATAACACCTAACATAGTTACATAGCATAAAGTTGTCTTTGCCATAGGCCCTCAAGGCCTTTATCAACCTGGGTTTGAAGAAAAACTTTCAAGAATCTGTTCTGTTTGATATCTTTTTCAATTTTTGGTTTCAAGGATTGCTTTATAAAATGATTTTACACTAAGCAATTAATTTCTCGTCTGCAACCATCAAATTTTGAAAACTGGTTATTAAACAAGTATGTAAAAAATAATTAGTGTGAAAGGGCCCATCATTTTTCTGCTGTGATCTTGTTTCATTTTTCTCTCAATTTCAAATGTAATATTTTCAAATACAATGAATTATATTATAACATTTCTTTTACAATTTAACTATTTTTTTATAATTTAAATAATTTTATAATAAAAAGATTTATTTTTATTTATTTTAAAAATATTTTTTTAAATTATTCTTAAAAAAATAAAATAATCAGTAGAAATGTAAATCTCAACGTGGTGTCTATATTTTTTATAATTATTTTTTTAAATATTATTTTAAAATTTATGTTATTTTTATTTTTATTTTTTAAATATATAAATTATAATAATTATTTGTTCTTTCAACTAAAACATTTTTATTTTTCGCTCTAAAATACCGTTACAAAAGAACTTTTTTATATATAATTATAGATTAATGATAATTAATTAATTATTTTAAAAAGATAAGATTTATCTCTTACAAGAAGAGATAAACTTGTAATTAATGTTAAATAAAAAAAAAGTAAAAGCAAAGTGAATATAAATAGGTGGGATTTGGGGAAGAGATAAACTTGTAATTAATATTAAAAATAAATAAAAAGTAAACAAGGTGAATATAAATAGGTGGGGTTTGAGGGGAAAAAAATGAGGAAGAGGAAGATGTTGATGAACCATCACTAATTTCATGTTTTATTTTTATCAACATTAAATAAAAAACAATTATCTTTTAAGATCTAATTAATTTATATATTATAGTTTAGAAAAAGGGTTATCACACTATCACTCAACCTTTGTTAATATTGAGCAGTTGTATTTAAAAACCTAAAACAATTTTTACAATAGAAATCGAACCCATCTTTAATTTTGAAAATTTTACTCCTAAGAAAATTTCATTCCAAAGGTAATCGTCTTAAAGTTTTCACGGTCAAATTCAGGAGGGATAATTGTAGAATTCATTTATTTACAGGGTTAGAATTCATCTTATTTACTTCAAGGAAAAAAAATAGAAAGAGACTATTTATTATTTAATGAAAGTGTATTTAATATTTTCGGTAATTCCATATCTCTCTCTCTCTCTGTTTTTTGAAAGAACCTCGAAATTACGCAACAAACATTGTCGTCTTGAAAACATGTAATACTAATTTAGTCTTAAGGTATTTGGAAAATTCAGGTCATTCTTATTCAAAACAAAAATCCATGCAAACCATTTTGTGGATTACATTCGACCACTTGTCCTTTTGTGTCTGTGATTCATCGATTCGGTTAATTTTTTGTTAGTGCCTCCAAAACTGAACAAAAATATTATCATTAATGTGTTACAAAAACACATCAATCCTACAAAATATATTTTGTAGCTCATCATTATTTAACATCGATTATAGTTAATACGACGTAAAAAGTACTTTCCACAAGTTGAATATTAAACACATTCTATGTCGGTTCTTAGTCAACCGACTTTCTACGTCGGTTCCCATGTGAACTGACGTTGAAAGTCTTTTTTTCACCAAAAATTCACTTAAGTTAATGAATTATCATCGACGACATTTGAACCCGAGTATTTTAGGGTTGAAAGTTAATATCCCAACCACTAAACTACTATAATTTTTTGATAATAACTTACAAATAAATTATATTGGTATTTTTCGATCGAGGTGAAAGTGTTATTGACTCTCACTTGAATGAAAATATGTTAAAGCTCACGGAAATTCACTCACTCAAGTCTTGCTTGAGCAAAAATTGGTATTTTTCGCTTGAGAAGCGAATAACACGTTTCCCAAATTTATTTTATATCATTATATAAATAAAATTATAAAAATTATATTACATCATTAAGTTACAAACTCATATAAAGATACATGCTTCACAAATTTAGCATCAAATTTTGAAAACTCACTCGACACACACTTTCGAGTGTGCTCTCACATCCAACATATAAATATATAATATATAAATATATCAAAATATATCAAAATATATAAATATATTTGTATTTATATATTTACACGGATATATATATTTATTTGTATATAAATATAATTTATTTGTAAGTTATTATCAAAAAATTCTAGTAGTTTAGTGGTTGGAGTATCGATCTCCAACTCTAAAATATTATATTCGAATCCTGCCAATGATAATTCTCTTAAAAAATTAACAACTTCGGTTCAAAATTATAAATACAGTGCATATATATATATATATATATATATATATATATATATATATATATATATATATATATATATATATATATTTAAGATTTTAAGTTGAAAAAAATAAAAGAAAATTCTGTTATATATTTGACCTGTGATATTATGGGATTGACTGTATCTCTATGGTTTTAAAATTTATTATTTTGTAGAATATTTTTTTAAGGTGCAGTAGCATGGTCAGAAGTATTTTTATGACGAGGATAAGACCAAGTTTTATTTCTACTGGACTTGGGATCCGACTCATTATCGTCATTGGTCGAGAAGTTTTATTCCTCGGGACTTATTTGTCGATCCGCGTCGGCAGAATGATATTTTTGCTACAATTTTCTTCTTTATTGCTGTTGATGTTAACTGTGCTGATTTTATTGCAGATATCATTGATGTTGCTTTCCCTTCAAATAGAGGGTTGTTCCGTCAGCTACGCAAAGAAAATGCGCCATCAGCACAAAAGGGAGTGTAGATTATCATTATCATAAAACAAAGAAAAGAGAGTGAGTATCATCTAAATAAAGATTATAAAACATATTTTTTAAATTTCCAAATAAAAATGGCCAATGTAGTTCCACCCTAAGACGTTGAAATGGTTGACTTGAACATTACTATTTATTATATTACGTAGGTTTCAAAGTAATTAAACAAATTAACGTATCTCTTTATTAAATTAAATTTTAAACTCGGTATTTAAAACATTATCTGATCAGGCTAAATTTTTAAATGAGACATTTAATATTTATCTTATCAATGCTAATTCCTTTTTTTTTTTAAACTATATAATCATTTTATCTATTTTGAGGCATTTTTTTTAATAAAAGAGATGTGCATTTAATATATTTTTAAACTAATAACTGAGTATTTAATATTTTTGAGAATTCTATCAATTTCTTTAATGTAGCGACAAGATCTGCATATGGTTACCAATTATGTTTGAATTAGTTAAATCTACCCTCTATTTGTTAAAATTCAAACGAGTAACCTAATCAAGTGTGGACTAAAAAAATCGCGACAAAAAATAAAATAAAATGGTATAAACCTATACTGGTATACTAACACAATCTCAAGTTGCTTTCATGTCAAGGTTAATAGTTAATTCATTATGAAATTTTTAAGAACATAATAATAAATTGATGAGTCTAAAACCATCGATTAATCAAAATGATGATAAATTAGTTAATTAGTCTTAAATATATAGATGATTTTAATTGAAGAAGAAAACCTGTAAATAAGATGAAAAAATATTCCTAATTTTATTAGATATGTTTTAAAATAATAAATAAATCAAAAATGTCTACTTGTTTTATATTTAACTAATTTTATCATGAATTTTAATTTAATCATAGTCCTAATCTTATATTTAGTTATTTATTATAATATTTATTGGGTCTTAAAAAAAAACATTAAAGAGAACGTAATAGCATCCTCAATCTCAAAATCTTAACTTTCTTTTTTATATAATGTTCAATTTTTGCATTCATAATCGTTTGATATCATTATTAGATTTTTTTTTAAATAATAACAAGACATAAATTCAACTCATAAAGATTTTCATAATCGTTTGATATCATTATTAGATTTTTTTTTAAATAATAACAAGACATAAATTCAACTCATAAGGATTAACATCACTCTCAACTTTTATTTAATATTATTATTGAATCTTTCAAAAAGATAATAAAATATGAGTTACATAAAAAATTAATATCACACTTATCTCAAAACCTTAAATTTTCTCAAATTTTGACTTAACTCACTTCTATTATTCATTTTCTTATTCTTATTTAACTTTCTTATTCTTATACTTACCGGATAACTATCTTACACTTACATTACCCCAATAACATTATTTTACGTACTGGAAATGATAATTAAAGATATATCAACTTAGTTAAAATGTCTGATTTTTACAATGAAACTTTTTTAAATTATTTTATATATATATATATAAAAATATGGTCCACACAATGTGGTGCCCCAGTGACCCATTAGCTGTACATGAATACCCATTAGCTGTACATGAATACCAATATTAATCAATATTTGTTAACTCAATAATAACATTAAAAAATTCTTAAATAGACAGGTTTTTGCAATTAATACCATATATGTTTCATCCATATGGCATTGAGATTTCTTACTGTTCAGTTCATTAGTTTTAATGGTTCAGACTTCACCAACCACATTTCTCAGCCTATATAAACGTGAGCTTCTCAGACATTGATACTGCAAGCAAGCAACCCTTCTCTCTTTCTTATACATCTAAGCAGTGATTAGGGCATGGGGTATCAAATCCCAGTTGGAGTTTCTCTCACTCCAACTATGAAAGGATATGATGGTAAACCTCTGCTGCTAGT